GCTGTTTGGGATGCTGACTCTGCTGCTTCACCAGCTTCAATGCCATTCACCGGGGACTTGGAACTGCCAGACCCCAGTTCTTCCAAACCCCCAGCTTCCAGATCACTGTGGTTGGAGTTCATAGTGGCTATCATTTTTTCTGATAGAACCTTAGGAGGAGGAACAGGAGGCTTTGCAACATCTGAGGTAGCAATTGTAGCAAGGCTGTCTTTGCCACTATCTCCTGATAATTCCAAGTCTTTTGCATTTTTAGGCTCAAGGACTGGTTGGTCCCAAGCAACTTTTAGCTTTTCTGACACGCTCTTAGGAAGAGGAATTGGAGCTTTTGCTGTGCCCTTGTTGCTGATCTCAACAAGCTGATCTCTGTTCTCCTCACTAGATTCTTCCACATTCTCCTCTCTGCTTACACAGTCCTCTTCCCTGACATCTGCGTTCTCCTTCGATGCTAAGCCTTCCTTAAGCTTCTTATTTGGAGGCAACGGAGGGGACATTTTATGTTCCTGATCAGGAACACTGTTCTCTGCATCATGGTTTTCTTTTGTGCCAGAAGGTTTTGTAGGTGGCATAGGTGGCTTTGGAGTTTCTTTGTGAGGTGGCGGATTGTCATTTTCACTGACAGTGGAGTCAAAGTTTGGTGGTCCGTTGTCTACTATATCCAGATCTAGTCGCAGGATCCCATCTGATGTAGACTTGGCAGCCTGAAACATAAGAGAGAACTTTATCAATTTCTATTCCATCAATCCCCTGCTCAATCCTTTAACTTCAAGGAATTGCTATGGATACAGCGGTACAAACACTTGCAGCATAAAACTTCAGCTGTAAGGAGAAGGTGAGGGATTACTGTTTTGCACATCCACCCCCTATTTATACTCACACCTGTCGAAACTGCCAGGAGAATCTGACTGATAACAAAAATGGCGCTCTTAAGAGCAGCTGCTTCTGCAGCTCAAGAGCAATCCACAGAGCTTGTGCTGCTGCTATGCAGCATCACCCTGTAATACCACCTCACAGCAGTAGCTGTGAAACCCAATGCAATCTGCAATGCCCAAATTTAATGAGCTGTGATAAACCAAAACATTTTACCTGACAAAGAAGAAAGTAGGGTCAAGTCATGTACCGTACAGCAAATGTTGAATGCATCAATGAAGATTCCTATCCCTCTGCCTAGCCCACTTTTTCTACAGACCACCATGCTCTGTGAATGCTATGGGTGGTTTTGCTGCTGAATTATTTCCTGCCTGATGGTGCAGCAGCTTGCACAAGAATAACAAACCCAAGAGCCACAAGCAGTCAAAAATTAGGACCAAAGCATAGAATTTATTTTAATACTTTCTTTGAGCAGAACATCTCAAAGCCTGCTCCACACTCCTATTTCTGTTTTCCTGTCGATGCTAAGCAGTCAGCTCTGACTCATTCGAGTTCTTCGCCCTGTAGTAGTTGGATCCCTCTACCCACCTCATTTCCTGTGTGCTTACCCAAAGCACTGCTGCTTTCTGCTTTTGGAACTGTCATATTTCCATGTGAACACATAAAACAAGTTGGCATGCACTGAGATCACTTGGCCAGAGGTTCTATTGTAACACCATTGCCTTCTCACTCTCTCTCAGCCTGATGCCATTGCTGCCATACTGGGGCTAAAACTAGCTGGTTACACCTCCTGCAAACCACAGGCTGCCTGCAAACTTCTCTAGCAGGGGGATATCCTAAAAAGGGTGGATGTGGTAAACACACTGCAGGATGTGAGCTTAGTGTGCTGGACGGTGAGATGCAGTGACAGTTCCTGTGTGAGGGAACCCAATGCTGCACCAAACTGCAACTAGAGCCAGAGCCCTGCAGTGCAGAATTTAGGTAAAGGCTCTCTTGCCTTTCCAGCCGTTAACAGACAGAGAGACAGGCAGGCTGCATCCTTACCTGGCCTGCTTTGGCACTGAAAATATTCATTCTCACAATGCTGCGGCCAGCAACTCTCATTCTCATCTTTCTGCAGGCTCTGTTCTCTCTCCTTGTTACTGCTTTTGAAATTGGAAACTAGTTTTTCTCGAATTTGGCTGAAAGCGAGAGCACTTACAGATATTTATGTCTGAGGTATCTCATGAAAATAGGGAGCTGAGTAGGGCTGAGAGGGCTTATCAGTGCCCAGGGAAGGGCATCCAGCTTTGCTGAACCCATTCTATGCATCAGAGAATCCACACTTCATTGCTTCTGCAACTTCTGTCATGTTTTGCTCTGTTGTTTTCTGAAGGGATGGATGAGAACCTGTGATTCATTCTTATGCATACCTCCAGAAGACACACTCTCCCTCCATTTCTATGCAAAGTGAAAAATCTTGGGGCATCTCATTTCCTGCACTAGGGCCATCTGAGTGCTGTGCAGGCACATAAGTCAGAGTCTGGGAAGTCTGAAGAAAGAAGGTTTGATTTAGAAACCTTCGCTGGTTTAGATTAATGTTCTGCTAAAATATCAATCTGTCTGTGGAAGCTTTTTCATAAATCACAGGAATCAAACATTCATAAGAACCTCTCCCACTGAAATGAGCTGCAGGTTTATTTTTGCAGTGTTATTTCTTTCCCTTTTTTTTTTAAGTGACAGATCCAGAAAATCGGTTAAGGGTAGACAGGCTAGTCTATAAAACTGCCTGGGAGAATAATGTATTCTGTTTCAGAGCTAAGGAAGGGTTTGTAAACCTGAAAGCTTGTCTGTTTTTTCCAGTTAGTTTAATAAAAAATACAGCTTCTCCCCATAGACCATGCAGTTCTTGTATCTTTACACCACTGTGGCTACAAAATCATCACTTCTTTGCAAATAAATATAGCAGCTTCGGTCTCTTCTGATTAAAATGAAACTATAAAGGCTCTCACCAGACAGCGAAGCAGCTCGTGACTTATGGGAAGCTAAATATATTGGAACACGGCACAGCAACTACAGATCTATGGGTTAACCTGGAGATTAGTTAAAGAGGTGTGGGCGCCGTGTCTCCCAGGGGAAGCCATTTCCCTCCTGAGCTTTCTCTGGACTGTCTGCACCTGGGTTTTCCTGAGGGTTTGCCCGTAGCTGGAAGGAGCAGTGTGCAGGGGTGCAGCTGGTCCCAGCTGGGGAGGTGGCTCAGTCCCCATGGGATGTACCTACCTCCTTGAGGTGGCTTCTTGTGGGCGGCCTGCGACCATGGGCCACTTTCACTCTGTCCCGAGTTACGTGGTCCAAGGAAAGGCTCTCATCTACTTTCACCTTTAAAAGGAAGGGAAACAGAAATGGAAGAAGATCGTTAATTTCTCACAATCCATCTATAAAATTCTCACTGTCACACATGAAGGGATGCAGCATTTGATCCAGGGAAGGTTTTTGAATATTTTCCCTTAGTTCCAGCTTGCCTGAAAAGCCCTGTGTGTATGTGATGGATATTTAAGGTATCTTCAGCGCATGTTTATCTAAAAGGCACTCTACATCAAAGCACCCCACCCTCAGAGTTCTGCAATCACTAGCCTCCCCTCTACCGAAAGGGCAGGTAAGAGAAGGACACAGGAGGGCTTTGTTGTCCCCACGCAGCCTGAGCTCCGAAACTGCTGTTGTCATCTTAGAGGTGAAAGCCCATTAATAACCGTGACCTGACGGTGAACTGTATCAGCAGTTCTTCGTAATAGACCTTCCCTTGTACAGCTCTAATGGCTGCAGGAAGCTGAATAGAAGGTGTGAGCAGTGACCTGGATTAATTGCAACTGTAGCTGAATTAACAAATTTATTTCCTGGAAACAGAGGAGTAATCCACTGCCACCCACGTGTGAGCAGGAAGGAATCACAGAATGGTTAAGGTTGGAAGGGACCTCTGGAGGTCACCTGCTCCAAACTGCCCATCAAGCAGGACCACCCAGAGCTCTTCTGAAGATCTCCAAGGAGATTTCCAAGGAAGAAGCCTCCACAGCTTCTCTGGGCAGTTTAATAGGCTGAAGAAAAGCAAATCCAAGCCCGTTGAGGCCTGACCCATTAGCTTGTGCCTAGTCTGTGCAGAAACATTTCAAATCTGAAATCTGATCTTTAGCGGAATGGACAAGAATTAAAGTCTAGCTCTGCCCTGGATCCTCATCAGGAACACTGTCTCCGGGAGAAGGGAGAAAGGAGAGGGAGGTGACCCCAGACCTCACCACACCATGCTGGGGAGGGGGCTGTGGGCTTTGCTGCCCACTGCCCTGCTGCTGCAGGCAGCTCTGTCCGTGTCAGTGGCTCCAGGGAGGGCTGAGCAGCATTATGTTAGAGGACATTGTATCTCCTACCCACTGTAACGTGAGAGTAGACCAGGCTGCTCAGCTCTTTGCTGTTCTGCTTTGTAATGGCTTCTCAGGCTGCACACAGCTGCTCCCTGTAATTACACATGCTGCTTCCTCCTTGATCCAAGGGCTCCAGGTACCATTAAAAACCTGATGTGAGATGTGATTTGCCCAGGTGAAAAAGGAGCATGTTCCAGCCTCTTCTCCAGCTTTTGCCCTGTCCTGAATAAAAGCAAAGCCCAAGCTCTCAGCTCTCAGAGTTTGCACTCGAGCACTGTCAAAGGAACTTAGCTTTTTTCTCAAGACTTTTACTCGCTGCTTTGGTTTCCTTTGCTAAACAGATCTTGCTGTTTTCTTAGTCTCCTAGTTAATCCTGCCTAATTCTTCATGTCATTCCTGTAATGGTGGTTTTGTACACTTCCTTTCAGTTACAAAAACAACTAAAGAATACATACTGCTCTTTCAGTTTAATTAGGGGCCAATTACAAGGTAACCGGGAGCAGGGCAAAGTTAGTCAGGCTTGAGGATGTGCAGTTTTCATCCTTGCCTCTGCACACCAGAATGAGTGGGGAACTAGGGTCAGTGGAGAGAAAGGCAGGGAGAGTGCATGGGCTTGAGAAACCTTGGAGTAACTTTCCACTGGACTTCTCTCCAGCCTGAAGCAAGAATAGCTGGTGGACTGAGTCACTGCACATTTTTCCAGTCTTGAAGACTGTCCTAACCAAATACCTCAATTTCCAGGCTGCTTGGTGCTGGGCATCATGACAATGTGGGGAAGACAAGTCCTTCCAGTCGCAGCCAGTCGCATCCTCCAGGACAGGGGAACACCATGTCACCAAAAGCCACTGATGCCATCAGACCATCTCCCACTGACTTTGGTGAGCTCTGGTGTCCCATGGGTCTCTCAGTGAGATGTTAGCTCTTGCAGCACTGATGATGTCTCTGTACCATCTACTTATCCTACTGTGCCTGCTTCTAACCCTACTAGAAAGGATGCAAACACCCCTTGATATGATCTAGCCTCTTGGGCTGGGAACTAGAGGGACTAAAGACTCCTAGCCTGTAAGGATGCAGCTTGGTCTGCCTTGCATCCACCTGTGAATGGGCTTTCTTTGGCAGTGCCTGGCATTCAGGAAGGACAGGGAGCCTGGGGTCTCACACAAGTTCTGTTGCTAGCTAAATAAGCAGTGAATGAGAAGTGACACAGAAGTACATGAGTTTGAAAACAGCATCTCTTACCTCATCAAATATTTTGTTTTTGCCTCTATTGATGCCCTCATTCAGGGCTTTTATCCATGATTCCTTTTCTTCCAAAGTTGCAGCTTGAAATTTGATATCATGAACCTGCAAGAGCAGAGAGAGAATTTTGCCTAAGCATTACAGAGAGGCAGCGTTCTGCATTCTGTATATCCCTTCAGTTTTTATATAACATCCAGTTCCAGTCTGTGTTTAAAGTACAGATTCCTTTGCACTTTGGCAAGTACTTCCCTTCATAGCTCCTGTGAACAGAATTTTGTTATGCTGAGCTGTTTGCTGCTGTCGTTCTATTTTTGCAATTAGCAATTACAGTAGTAAGTAAGTTATGAGCTTCTTACTTCTGTAAAATCTATGGAATAGCTCTTATAGCAGAAAGTTGTTTGTACAGTGAATGGTCAAACTGCGTGCAGCGAATCAGACTGAGAGTGCAAGTTGTTTTGTGGCAGTTCAGATGCTATCAGCTGCTTTATCTCCAATTCTGCCACAGGCTGCAAGTAGGAAACCCACATGCCATAGGTTCTGCCTTCTTCCCTGTTCCTGTGGCTCTGCAGAGCAGAGCCAATACAGGAATCAGGGCTCTGACCTTGGCTGCACCAACTCTGCTTCAGCTGCACATGGACAGGATGCGACTAAGCGCAGCGTAACTGAAAAAATTAACAATATCTTTTCCTGCTTGCAAATGAAGAAAATAAAAGCGGACTCTACAGATGTACATTTTCTGGGGTCTGAACAGCTATCCTAAGAATACAGAACAATCTTAGGCCATAGAGGAGACAGCTGGTAAAAAAAGCACAGGACAAAAATGAGGACGGGAGCAATGATCGTATGGCTGTCCCCCATTCAACCAGCTCTGCCTTCCTCCAGAGTCATCCCAGGGCTGTGCTTTTTAATCTCTAATTGACCACAGCAGGAACAATAAGTAAGATGCTATTTATTTTTCTGCTGTGTGCTATTGTGTAGTTTTGCCCCAAAGTACACTTCAGGTGAGAAAAATACCATCTTCATATTACAGGTCACTGTATGGCAGACTGGCTTGGATCCACATAGCTCCACTGAATCCAAATAGCTGCAATCTGCACTGTACAGACACAGATAAATGCTCTCGTGCTAAAGAACATCACGAAAGCTGCAAAATCAAGCACTCAAAAAAATTGGACAATCCCAAAGTTGCCTAGGTAACCTTAACCCAGCCACCACACAAGTTCCTCATGTGTCTATCCCTAATGACAGGGGTGGAGCTTCCTACTGCGCTATCTCATAGTGTGCTGTGTGGGTCAATATTGATGGCATTGCGCTGCAGCCCTGCCCTGAAGACAGAATTACCAATTCCACTGATGATCTCTTCTTCACTGCTTATCACTACGATACCTGAGGGCTTCACAAACTACTTTTCAGAACAATCATCCACATCTTACAGGTGGGGAGGTGAGTTACATAGAGGTTTACCTAAATCACATCCTAGTAGAGCCTCAGTTAAAATATTTTTTTCCAGGTATTTAACATCCCACAGTCATTTATACTGCCTTCAAGACCAGCTGCAGTCTCAGCCTTTTTGTAAATCAGGCCCCACATTCTGAAATCACAACAGGGTCAGAACATCCAGACTATACAAAATGAGGGTGACAAGGCTAGTGCTCTTAGCAGCTTCCTGTTTTGTTTATGGTACAACGAGGCAGCAACTGTTCGGGGTTTCAGCAACTTCTGAAATCCTACATGCCTGTACTCTAGGCCTCCCAGTAGGGATGCTTTCCTGACCCTTACATCACCATTAAAAATTCTGTACAGCTGAAGCCTAATCTCCTTACACTCACCCTGGCTGTTTAGTTAGGAACATGCTACCCTTCCTTTCTGCATTTATTGCTCGCTGCAGTGCCAAGGTTTTATACCTGCACACCACAGCAACAAAGCTCAAGGCCTTTGCAGCCAGCATGGCCAGCAGGGAGTTAAGAAGCATTTTTGGGAGAGTGTATTTGTTCAATTAGTTTGCACATAAGGTGATGGGGCCAAATGCCTTTTTAAGAGCCCAGAGAAGAGGTTAGGGCCTGAACCACAGCACTCTGGAAAAAGGGTTCTTTGTCTGGGATGCAGAGGGATCACACTAACCAGGGAATCTAAGGAAGGCAAGGCTCCAGAACATGACAGCCAGGTTTTGTTTTAGCCTAAGCAGGCCTGTTTTTGTGTGTGCTTGAAAACTTCTTTGTTTGGAAATGATTTCACCCCAAAGTTTTGTGATTACAAAAGCATCTGAGAAAGCTCTACTTGTGAGCAGCTGTGCTGCTGCACTGCCTGGCAAAGACCTGGCATCCTGCACCAAGGTTTAGAAACATAAATGGCGTTCAAGGGAAGGATTCCTGCCTTACTTCAAGCTTCCTCTTCTAATGCTACTTCCTGTGCCTTATTCTCTGCCCAGGACAAAAGCTGCTGACTGTGACAAAGTGCTGCTGTCAGCTCGCGACTGCGCAGCAGGGCAGAGTGAAGGCCCTGGGGAATTGCTGGTCATTACTGAGAAGCTGAGGTGTCCCTCTGGCATGGCCTATTTAATGCTGACCAACCGCTGCAGCCGCCGATCACAGACCAAGTGCACAGCAGGGGGAGGGGAAAGCGCGGGGAGATGCTCCAAAGGCAGCAGCACAGAGCCATTGCACTCAGTTTCCTTTCTACAAGAACACTTTTTTCCTTTTTAGCATAATATCCACAGATACTAAGGAAAAATCAGGCTGCTGGAGCTCTGAGGCTGGCACTTGGGATGCTGCCATACAGAGCCTCATTGTTTCCTTGCACTGCACTGCTTGTCTGCCTCCCTCTGAAGTTCATGTCCTCCACCATGGGCACTGGGGTGAGAGGGTTTGCCCGTATTGGGATGGAAGCTTGCTATAAAGCTGAGGAAATAGAGGAACAAGCCAGAGATGTTGTTCTCAGTTCTGCTTGCCACTGTGGTTCTGTAGACTAGAGTGAGATAAGGAACAAATTAATTTACTTTGTCTTTATTTTTATTCATCTGAGTATTCAGATATCAGAGGACACACAGCTTTAGCCTGATCTCCATTTAGCTTTAGTCTGATCTCCAGCAGCAATTTTAGGTAGAGGGTCAGTGACACCAAGCCTAAAGCCAGGAAGCAGAGCAGCCCATCTGCCTTCCTACCTGCTAAGCCAGCTGAGACTGACTCATGACATAAACAACTGCCTGGTGTGCCAGGAAAAGCTGTCAGACTGAACCTAATGTGATAGTGGCCATTGTGAGCCATGAATACAGTGTATGCAGTTTACTGTAAGTGAGTTCAGAGCACAGCGCAGCCAGTCAGTTCCTGCTGAATCACTGGCTGCATGTCATGCAATAAAAGAGGCTCACACTCTGGTCGCTGCCCGTGACGACAGTGAGCACATCTCTCTGACTGCCCTGTGTCTTCTCAGACATCAGTCTTCTGCGAGCAGGGACAGTCTCATGGCTATGCTGACCCCACTGCCCAGCGCCAGCCCTAAGTGATTTATCTGACAAGCCTGGAGAACCCAAAAGCTGCAGTTTTTGACATTTACCAATACAAGCTCTTTGTTGAGCTCTTCTGCTTGATGCTACCAATCTGTCAAGAGGTGAGTGACAGAAATCTGTGTATTCTCAGCCATTTCAGTGCAAAGCTTCAGCTGCCGGCAAGGGTAGGCTAAACTGGACTGAGAACTGCTTGTGTTCTGCTGGCTGAGGTGTGGGAACACATTATCCTCTGCTGACTTTTGTCACTGAGGGTCACCTCCAGCAGATGCCAGAGCACAGCTGGGTCAGTAACTACGCAGGGTGCAGCAGAGGCTATCTGCCAGATGTGATCTCCTGAATCTGAGTCCCCGTCAGGTTGGATCACAGAGGAAAAAGTGGAAGCAAGGGGACGATCAATTAGGGGATTCCTGTTTTTTTTTTTCTGCAGCTGAACCAAGAGCTGCCTCATCCCTGGGAATAACACAGCACCTCTGCCACGCTCAGCCTGGGCAGACTCCTGGTGCATCCCCTCAGAGCACAAGCAAATGTGCTTCACTGCGATCTCGTCAGCTTCCAATTTGGGCCCCTGCTGAAGGGAGCCACAGGTACCTCAAAGTCGACCGAGGGAAAAAAAAAACAAAGTAGTGGAAATTTCCACAAGTGCTGAGTTTGTGCCTGGCAGTGCTGGGCAGGACATGTGGGAAGCTGCAGCACTTGCCCATGGACTCTTTCCCATACTGCCACCCTCTTTCTTCCCATTCTGCATCCTGGTAGCTGAAGGCTTTCAGACCTGCTGAATACCAGACTTGTGCCAATCTCTGGAGTCTCTAGGCAGCTTACACGAGAAGGCATGGTTTATGCTGCTCTTTGCATCATGAATACATTTAAGGTCTCCAAGCCAAGGCTGCTGCCCCTTCTTACAAATTCTCTGCTCGGCTCTCTCTGTTCAGCAGTTTTCATTTAATTAGTGTGACTGACGTGAAACATTTGAGATTTCTAAGCAGAATGGGTCTTCTGCACACTTCCAACTTCCTTTGCTGAAGAACCAAAGCACTGGGGACAGCACTTTGTTTCAGTTCCACATAAGGAAGCTGTCCAGTGCAGGCGTGTGACACGCTCATATTGTTGTGGCTTCACAGAAGTGTTATCTTGTGATCTGGGCAAGCAAAATCTGGGGTATTGCCATCAAGAGCAGTGCTTAGCAAGGCACCTTACTTATTTGGGTGCAACTGTAGCTACAGAGCTGTTTTAACGGATAGATTCACTGTGAGCAGAGTTCACAGTCCTACACTGAGCTCACAGTTCCTTCAGACTCTGGGAAGGGTCTGAACAGTTTCTGTTTTATTGTTTGCTCTTTCCAAGTGTCCTTTGCTCTTCAGAAACATCCCATCAAGTATTTAAACCTGGATTCCCCCAAAGTTGAACTCGGATCCCCGCTTTCTACAGTGACATTTCTATTTGCACACTGGAATAGAAATGGCCTTTCCTGGCTTTATTCGCTTGCTTTCTGCATTCTCCAGCCCTGTGCTCAGGATAAGGGGCTGAGAACACTAGTGAAACATGGAAGGGCTTGGCAAGGCACTTCACAGGGTGACTTTAAGCTGTAGTGCAAGCTGCAGATGGCAGCTAGTCTCCCCAAAGGAAAATGCTGAGCAGATATCTATTGCCACAGCTGCAATTCCAAAACAGAAGAAGGACAGTTGTGTATGTTGGGCTCCTCACTGAAGTTTGTTCTAACATCTGCAAAAGCACGGTGCGTGTCAACACCCTCACCATACTCCCAGCCAAAAGGAGGGTGGGAGAGGAGCTACAAACAGGGAACTTTTCATTTATAAAAGCCTTCCCTTTTACCAAAAGAGCCTTATGAAAAGTGGCCGCTATCTGGGTTTCCATTTAATCATTGGCATGAGAACCAGGGGAGCTGTAAACTTGCCAGGATGCCAAAAGGATGAAGTTTCCCTTTCAGTGCAGAATTTGGACATATCTTTCTTTAGAAAGAAACAAAAGGTTTAGGAACACATCCCACACTCTCTGTTGATTCATGCAGAAACATACAGCTATTATACACTTTGCCTAAGTAATATACTAGCAAATAATTATTAATTCCTACTGTGCCTCCATCTCTGCTCACACATGCAATTATTTGCCTCCCTGGGAGTAGGTGTGCACACAAGGTAGCCAGAGGCATTCAGCAGAGGCAGTTGTTGTGGTCCCGTCTCCCTCTAGAAAATGCACCAAGCCTGCCAAGGTTAGGCATTTCTGATCTAAAATTGACATGATTTGTGATTAATGAAGTTACGAAACAAACATTAAACCTCCAGCCAAACTGGAGAGACTCACTGCTCTGTATCCAGTGCTGAGCAGGAGCTCTCTAGCAGAGGGCTCAAATTCCAGGCTACCATAACCTTGGTGTGTTGTGCTTAATATCACTTTTCTTCCTGACGCAGACTGGGCCTACTTGCAAAACAAACATCATTCCCCTTCTCTCTCCACCCCAACCCCAGCCCAAGTGAATGCTTTGGGGCAGGGGAACTATCCTTGTTTTGTTGTTGTGAATGAAGTTTAGCACAGAGATGCTCTGAACTCAGCTGGGGTCTTGAGGCACCGTTACACAAATAAACACTAAGTGAATGAAGTGAAAGAATAAGCAGCAATGACAGCAAGGACTAAACAGTCTCCATTTATTCAAACAAAATGGAGATGAGGAAATGCATGCAAGCTGATATTTTTGGCTGTTCGTATTCTTATGGAAATTAATATTTTTTTTTGTCTCCTAACAACCTCTTGGATCCGTGTGGAAAAATTTAATAAGATCTTTTAAGCCAATAAAATCACATTGAAATTAGAATGTAAGTCAAAGTGAGTTATTTAAGAGCAACAACAGAAACATCTGAGCCCAGAAAGATGCTGATACACTGTCAGCAGGAATGAAGAAAATCTTCCCAAGTATGTGCAGTGATGACGAACATATATTGGCCTATACATAAGACAAAAGGGCTTCCTTGCATACAGTTGTGCTCAGGTGGATATAGAACTTCTTTGCAACATCAGCCTGGTTATTAGGTTCTGGGTACAACTAGGTGCTGCATAGGCAGCTAAGATTGCACAGTTTCATTAAATCTCCAAAACAGATTTTCTTCTAGGAACTGTTTGGCTGCAAGAAACTTTGCAGCTACTTTGCAGTTACTTGGAGATTCTCATATGAGCGTGTCCAAGGACAGGAACTGTCCCAGTCATGGATTGGCATCACTGACTTCACTGGAACTTCAGCAAAGCTACAGCATGCACAGCTGGGGCAGGGACACTTCCTCGCTCAGGGCACAGTGGGAACAGCAGGGTATGGGCTCACACCACTGCTCAAGGAGTACTGGGAGAAAGAAAACGATAAAGCAGGAAAATATCAAGAGGAAAATGTTCTCGTAAATCCAGTAAAAGGAAGATCCTTTCCCCAGCACAAGAATGAAGTCTACAGGACAGTGATGTTCATCTCTGTACATCCTAGGCCATTCACAAACACAGGCAATTTCTCCTAACTGCCAAACAAGTAAATTTCAGAGCCTTTTGTCTGCTGCCTGGGGACTCATTTTGAAGTTAACAGAATTGAGGGTGAAGAGAAAGCAATCCTACCTTCTTACCCGGGGAGCGGATTAAAATGAAACGGTTTTTCTTTTTTAGTAGTGCACGCAGCTCCTGGCACTTGTCGTAACTCTCCAGTTCCACTGTTTCTATGCATTTCTGCTCATCCTGCAGAGAGGGAATGAAACATTATTACAAATAGGAGTCACTGAAATCAGTCATATACCATCAACCTCTGTGTGTGTTCCCTTTGCATCTGTCTAAAAGCTCTTCTGCCTTAAAAATAAATCTGCATGCAGACAGCAAGCCCCCACAGATCAGGTTGGTATCCCAGACTCAAGAAAGCATGAAGGTCTCTAAGCTATGGGCTGATGTGTGGCTACTGGTCCACAGCAGCTGAGCAAATAATGCAGTGTGGACAAGAACATCAGCCTCTTCCATGTCTGGTGGCTCCTTCCAATGATTCACAGTCAGATGCAAGGTGAGAAGGATTTTGCCAAGCTACAGTGCTGCCAGTCCTGCTGCATGGATTCTTGTTCATCTATCCAACAAGTAACACCCCACACTTTCATAAGGTTTCCTGATGTGATCTCAAAGCCCCCCCAAGTTCCCACTTAGCCTGGCAAAATCACCTTCTTCCTGCAATGAATGACGCCAACGTTATTCTGCTTTTTCACAGGGAAGAAGATGGAGCAGGCGTCACAACTGCCCAGCCCTGCAGGAAGCCCGTGGTGGATGTGGGCTGAGCTGAGCCCTGCCGGCACGCTGAGCCAGGCAGCCTGGCCCTCCTGTGAGCAAGGTTGGTGGCAGCCCCGTGTGACTGGGACACACTTCTCTCACAGCCATGCTCTGAGCTGTCAGAATGCCTAGGACTGGAAACGCAGCCCATACAGCCAGCACAACTGTCAGGGCCAACGTCCCATTGGGGAGTATTTATCTCTGGTGTATCTGCACTGATGACTGCAGGCCGTGAACTTGGCTCATTTCTCCCAATAACATAACTAAAATTCCACACGTGGTACATGGCTCAGTTCAGCTGCAGAGCACCATCCCTAATAGGAATTGCAGTGTAGCGCCAGGCAGATAATATTATTCATGTCTCAGAACAGACCAAAACTCCCTTTTGCAACATATTACATAAATAAGCAGTGAGAATTGCCAAGCAGTTCTTGCCAGTAAAGTGCTTCAGTCAGCATGCCTCATGAACCTCTCTGTTACCATCCTAAATTAAAACCTCCAGCCACGACCATACCCAGGTCTGACTGCTCATATTTGTAGTGGTATGAGTTTGTATTTAGCAATTCTGTAGCAGCAAGGGGGTGTGGGGTGAGGAAATGTGTCGTAGCCAGGAAGTTACTGCGTGGCTGGAGGCAGGGAATGGAGAGTTCAGAGGGAAGTGGGCTGCGGGGAATTTCCTTCGCTTACCACTTGACATTTAAGTCACTGTGCAGAGCCCGTGCTGCATTCAGTTTTTTTTAAACCTCTGATCTGGAGATGGAGGCACAGCAGAGCCAATGCGGGAATGCAGAACGAGTTCTGAGCCACAGAGGGCTGTCTGGATCTAATTTAGGTTTATTATTGTTATGCATTACTGTTTATTTCGTTTAACACTGAGTAGGTGAATGTGACCAGGGAACTGGGAAGAGGTATATTAGGAGGAGGAGATTAATCTGCCCAAACCTAAAACCTCACAGATAAAATCCTGCTGACATTACTGAGCCCTTTAAAGGCTCCTGCTGCCTAGTTTTGCAATGTCACTGCAAAAACTGGAAATAATAACCCCTCAGCAGCCAACAAATCAGAGAGAAGGGTGAGGTCAGTGATACATGCCTAGGGGACGGTGATCTCATCCTGGCCTTGGGTAGGTGACCACCCACATCTCAGTGCTGTCACATGACTGCTGTGGTCACCACCTCCTATGGGAAAGTTTGCTGAGCTTGGGGTGTAAATGTAGGTGGTTTGGCTGGACACTGATGAGAGATCTGGACAGAGTCCCCTGGCAACCCTACACATCCTTGGAGAGCAGCTCTGCCTCCAGCAGAGCACAGTTGTTCTGTGCCACCCCCCTTGTCCACGCCTTCCTGCCTGCCTCTTGGACAGGAAACTTCCCTCGGATCCTGCACAAGCCATCCTCCTTATCCTATGGACTGCCATGGGCTGTGATGAAGCTGGAGGACATAAAGGACACTGCAGGCTGAGCAGCTCTGCTACACTGTCTTTTGACTTTCAGCTGCCCCTTTTCCCCTGGGAGGCTTTGGGATTATGGGCTGCTCAGGGAATAAAGGCAGAAAGGATAGGGACATGCAGGGCCCTGCCTCCCAAGGGCAGTGACTTGACTTTGCTCCTTCATCTCAGAGACTGGAGCTTCTCAGGTTATCCTTTTCAAGGAAGGCAGGGAAGAGAGCAGCCAGAGAAAAAAGAAAACCCCACGCATGAGGTAAGGGAAAAGACTGAAGTTCAGGCAATGGCAAAATGGGACTTTTGTCTCTGTTTTACCCTTGGCAAATGGCCAGCCCCTCTGTGTGCCTACCTGGGCACAAAGAAATCTTTTATTTCTGTTCTCTATGACTCAGATAAAGACCAAAGGGCCTGACCCTCCCAACAGTCTCCAGGTCCCTCCAACCTCCTGGGACCTGGAGGATGCTCAGCATCAGGCAGAGACAAGGTTTCCATCGGAGCCTTGCCCCTACAAACTGGTCTCAGACACAAGCTCCTGCTGCATTTTGCCTCTTGTATCCCAGGGAAGTGAAAACAATTCTTTTCTATTGCACTAAGACACAAATGCTGGATTGAGCTGCCCGAATCCCCACTCAGTAGTCTCTCCTCCCAGCAAAGCATGGCCTGCAGGGTGTCCCATAAGGCTGCATCTGCTGCCCATCGCCACACCTCTCCCATGGCTACAGACATGCCCAGGAAACAGGGAGTTCCCTTGAGGCCTTCTTCCCTCTATAGATTTTAGTGCCTGCTTTTTAAATTGCTTTTGTAGTTGCTGTAAGGGACAATCAATAAGACACTTAAAATCCTGGTACAGAAAATCTTACACTCATGATTTAATGCAGAAAAACAATACCATTAGCTATTCGTGGAGCACACACTGCTACTTAAACATGTGTGTGTTTGTAAGCATTTCAGTGCCTGAGGGAGAACATTACTAAATACCCATACATATTAATGCATATGCTTAACCAAGGAATCATATTTGGCAAAGCTAGAATTTCCTGAATGAAGTGTTGATAAAAAGGGAAAATAGAACTGGTAAAATTTTTACTTATCTGAAAATAAAATTTCCAGCAAAGACTGCATCACTACTACATCCTAATGGCCTGTGAGCCTCCGTTCTCTGTACAATGCCTGGAATGCTTGAAATAATAATCCTCTTTTCCATCTGAGGATCTCAAAGCACAGTGATAAATCACATTTGGTTATACATTGCTACCACTTTACCAATGCAGAAGTGCAGACATCAGTTGCACTGCTGAGGTCACACAGGAAGCCAAAGGCCTCATGGAACCTCTGCTCCCTAGCAGCCATCTTACTTGGTAGATTTTTGCCCTGTCATGTGGCACACTTTAAAAAAAGAAAAAAGAAAAAAAAAAAAAAAAAAGAAAGAATCATCAGAAGAGGCAAAAAAAAGTTAAAATCAAAAAGACTGACTCTCTCTGATCCGTGGAGCGACGGCATGGATTCATCTGGCCTCTTTGCACAGGACTGCCTGTTCTGCAGATGCCCTGTGCAGTTCCGTGGGCTTGGTTTTTATTCCAGCAAGAATATGCAGAGACAGGAAACATCACTACAAAATGACCTGCCTATTTGGTTCTTTGTGGGCTTGTGTGCAATTGCCTGTCACTGAGATGCATCAGTAATTTCCTTGGGATCTGAATGTCACAGAGCTGTATGTATTTGCATAGGTGCATCTCTCCTGCCGTTTGGGTATGTAATATGTACCTTGTACATACATCCTTCTGAACTGAGTCCTAGGTTCACATCAGGGTGCACCTGCAGGGCCCTGTGGATGGAGCCTCATCAGATAACGAGGAATACATTGCATCAGCTGGATGAAACCTGCAGCACAGAGATGCACAGCTTTCACCCACCATCTGCTGCAAGTAATACAATGGCCATTTGCAATTTGCCTTCAGGAGGTAGCTATGCTTTAAAACAGATGAACAGATGCAATATAGGGAACCTGCTTCCAAGGTAGGTCAGAGGCACATTCCAAGAGATTTCTATTGATGATGCTAAAATACAGTGTTTGTGTTACGCTTAGGCTGTACTTACAATGTTATTGCCAGCATCTTTTGTTGGCCTTCTCTGCTGTTACTCTGCACATACAAACTTCAGAGACAAGTGCAGCTGCCAGCCCTGTGCAATTGCATAAACAAGTGTGCCTGCATATGGAACAACTGCTGAAGGCAATGTTAACACCTCTGCAGGAAGGGCTCCAACGCACCAGGGACTGATAAAAGGACAGCATGTCCAAGTCACCAGTTCGTTTCGTGGAAATCGGATGGTTTCAATGAGCAGACTCTCCACTTGCCCTCGGACATGGAAGCTGGCCTCCCTCCCACATAACTACTTTTGTCTAACTTAGCTTGTATTTCTGTTAGCCAATATTTTATCTCCTTGCTTCCTGAGGGCTGTTAACCTCCTGTTCAGCAAGTACTGAATAATCCCATTTAAAAATCTCTCTTCTTAAGAGCCAAAAAATGCAGATTGAGATAAGGAAATAGAAGCCACCAGAGCGTGCTGCGCCACAGACTCTCCTTTGACATTGGGCAAGTCACTTCTCATCTCCAAAACTTCCCCAGTTGTGAGACAGAGACAGCAGCACTGCAGTAATTCACGCTACTGGAAGATAAATACAGTAATAAACACGAACTACAATTCTGCAGTAACAGGACCCCTCCTGAGTACAGAAAATTGCCATTTCCTTCGGTTTCCTTGTTGTCAGTCTGCACAATCACATGCTATCCTATTATGCTACCAGATAATTTTGTAGCAATTTCCTCTCTTGAGATATTTGACTTCACTATAAGCTAGTTTTAATAGCCTATAGATATTAACATGATCCCTTATTTACAATAATGGAGCCTTGTAGCTACTGTAGCTTACAGATGCAATTTATTACAGGATGTTACCACAATCCGCAGGCTACCAGAAAACATTATGTCTGGTTGTTACAAATGCCATTTTCCTTGTTGAGATAGTAAAATAACTCTTTAAATGATCAGGATTTTTCCTTCTTCTGAATGTCTGTGAAAATTAATCTTACTTTAAAAGCTTTTTTTTTCCCTTGTGGTAATAAGAACCTCCATGTATCTTGTTTTTAAAGGCATGCTGTTTAAACAAAAACAAAAACAACAAAAAAAAAACCCCACCATGTCGTGTTTATAGATTTGAATCTGTTTGTTCCTGTAGCTTCAGCTGGAGTCAACAGGTGTCTGGGGCACTCGGATGTGATCTGCAGACAGCCAGCAGTTTGCAGGATAGGCTGTATCTCTGCAGAAAAGCTTCAGGTCTCCACACCCCCACCACTCTGCCTGTCTTCCAAGCTCCTCGTTACCTGACCTGACTTCTCATTTCAGTATTCTTGCACTCTCCGTGACATTTCAAAACCAAGAACAAACGCCTCCTGAAAGCCTTGGGATGTGGGGAGAGCAGAAGGTAACATAATTTAACCCAAAGCGCTCATAACAAATCTTCCATATTAGGCAATACTGTTTTTAGAAAAGAGAACCAAACTCTTTTGTCAGTCCTGTTGTTCCTGAAACCATCACAGCAGTGCAACTGCTGACGTGTTTCCCCATTCCCGTTCCCTTGACATGCTGCACAGAAACTGGGCTGCTTTTGTCTTCTAGCGTTCTGATGCCCACAAATGCCCCAGTCCTCTCGTGCCAGGTGCCACAGAAGCACACATACCAGCAGGGCTTAGCCTCAGCTGCCCCTGTCTCAGACCCCTCCGGGCTGAGCTTATGTGATCTGCCCACTAATATATTCCTCTGGGGACCTCTGAGGACAATCTCACTCTTACAGAGCCCTTTCGGCCCAACAACAGGGCAGCAGACTCAGAGATATTTCACTTTTCATTCTTCTCGCATGAAGATACAGAGCAGATTTGGCTTGGCTCTTATTCCTCATTGGATTAGAAACAGCTCTAAATGAAGCCATGAACTTAAGGCATTCAACTTATCTAGGGAAGTTCAGGAAAAGGCTCCCAGGAGTCCTTCTCTTAGCTCTGGCTTGCTCAACCAACAGGAAGGGATGAGCCAAACCCAAACCGTGTCCTTATTTAAGGATAAATCAAGCACTCAACCTCATCCTGTGTCCATCGTGGCTAAACAAGACCCTGCACAGCCTGGCAGCCAGCGGCTCCAGCTGCTTGTGGAGTGCTCAACAGCTGCAGGGCTGCCAGTCGTGCCCTTCAGCAGCAGGCGGGCAGTCAGGCTGCTGCAATGCAGTTTTAGCCCTTAAATGCCAAAAACTGCGAGCACATATCCTGCTTCCGCCTCAAGTCTTACCCTGTTCACCTTCTCACAGGATGTCCTGCCCCCGTTGCCTTTTTTTTTTTTTTAACAATGCTACTGTCAAAATATTTACTGGCTGAAATATTTATGGTATATAATATTCTCTAAAACGCAGCAGCTGTCTCTTCTTCATTTAACCTCCCTGAAAGTATCTACAGAAGTCCTTCTGAAAGGAATGGGCTAGAAAGAGGAGTGAAAATCAAAGGACTGTGTCACCGAGGACTTGATCCTGCCCAAGGGGGTTAAGCTGTGAGCATACCTCATCCTCATAGACCACGAGCTGTGTTTTCCGCAGCTGGACGTAGCGATCCTTCCACAGTCCCAGGAGTCCTCCACTGCTTTTCTTTATCCAGCCAAATTTCTCTGCACTGGGAGCAGGCTTTGGTTTCTCCGAGACCTCCTCCTTTGTATCCTGAAGGACCACCAAGAAAAGCAGAAGGGAGAAGTTACACTGAGAGCACCTTCCATCCACCTAATGACAGGCCTTGGAAAAGCCTGCCCAGCAAAGACCGCAGCACCCACCATGTGCAGTCCCTCCCCAGCAGCTCACAGGGAGAAAGGCTGGGAGCAGACTGGCATCTTCCAGAGAACACTTGTACAGGGGAGAAGAGAGCTCAGGCAGCTCCTGCCCCACAGCCCAGACCTCTGGAACAGGGCTGGGGAGTGGGCATGGACCCTGAGGCTGCTGCTGCCCTGCATGCAGAATCCGGCACGGCTGCTGCCCTAAGCCTTTCCCAGGAGCAAGCAGAGCCAAATCCCCTTAGAAAAACACCTCACCGAACTCGTGACCCTTAAGAGGAGGCCAACCCCAAATCCTCCAGAGCCCTTCCCAGAACCACACTGTTACCCCAGATTTGGCTTTTCTCCCGGGACACAGGACCTGTTGTTGCCTGTAATGGCACTAAGCAGTATTTTCACAAACCAAAGGATGCACGACCAAGGCAGAGACCCAAGCATCCTCAAATGGCTCTAGCTAGCTGCTGATAGGGAAAAATCAAAACAAAACAAATCAGAATGTCTGTAGCTTAAACATCATGTTTCCTACCATGAGGAAATCCCATGTGCATCATAAGGAGTCAGAGCCAGGCACTCCCGTGGCCAGAAGGGAGTGGAGATAGGGCAAGTGAGTACAGACAGGTTCCAAAAATCCAGAGGAAAGCCTTACTAACAGATCTGTTTTCATGAACCAGACTCCCAGCAAACACACCCTTGGATAGTATTTGGGTGAGCTGTTCCTTAAAGATAGAACTTGCACCCATAATGAGAAGCAAAACAGATTAAATTTGCTGTGTGCAAACATTTATTCCAGCCTCCAGCAAGGTCAGGAAGAGGCTCGATGCCTGAAACACAGCCAGGCTTCCTCAGGTAAAGGTAAATCACACGGAAATGGCCAGCAGCCCCGGTGCACTTTGCAGAATGAAGCTGTTTCTTGGTGCTATGCTGTGTTTGACAGGCCCTGCGACAGGATGGCAGCACACCAACAACTTTTCCGGGAAATGAGGAGCACTGTGTTTTTTTTAAGCTCGACTTTTTTAGGTTGCCAGGAAGTTGCAGTCAGTTGCGATTTGCTCCTTCAGCAAACATCAACGGCTGCACCAATACAGACCTGTTGGTGCATCATCCCTTTTGATGCCATGCTTGGGTAACTGGGCACGGGCTTTGACCTCACACCTAGCAGTTCTGCTTGGATGTAGCTGCACCAAGAGTGACTCCTCGCCTGTCTTCCTGCTACTCCCAAATGGGTTGGAGTTTTCTGCTCTGCAGATCAATTTTTATTTTTTCTCTCGATGGCAAAATGGCTGCCTGAAAACACACAGCAAATCAGCCTATCCGTGGCCTCTTTACTCTGCAGTGTGAAAACCCTCTCTTCCATGGTTTTACAATAAAATGACTCACTATAAAGTTGCAGCACTTCACATCTACTGCTGAAAAAGCAACCCATCCTCATCACCGCTTTGGTTGGAGGGAATTCTCATGCTTGCACTCCTGCGATCTCACGGCATTCACCAGCTCCCTGACATCTTGGGACAATCTCTTTTCTCCACCCCATCAGGATTTCCACTTCTGGGCCAAATCGTCCCCGTCTGTGCCTAAAGCCTGGCTGCTCACCCCCTCTGTTTGTAGCAGGAGTGACGCTTCGATCCACACACAAGCAGGACACATGCATGGGATGCTCTCCCAACCACGCGGCGCTTCCCACAGTGCTGGCATCCCATGCCTCTGGCTTGTGCAGCCCCTCGATCTGTCAGCAAGGGGAGGTTTGCCAGGGCAGAGCGCTGGGAGCAGGACTCAGTGTCCGCTCCATGCTCGCTGCCTGTGATTCCATGACTAAAATTGGAGGACAGCACAAAGAGATGATTTGTTGTTGTTAATTCAGCTTTCTGCAGGTATTCCTTCTGCTGGAGGCAAGAAATACTAAGATAGCCATTCCAGGATGTTCCCGGGCTGGATTCGTGCCTGATGCTGGTGTAAATCCATCAGAATAAACCCACTGACATCAGCCAAGAGAGCCAGCATAACCAAGGGAAGAACTGAGTTATTCTGTCACTGCCCGAGCCAGCGGCGCTGGTCCCACAGCCGGTACAAGTCATTGGTGCGATTTACAGCATGGTGGCATTAAAAGTGCAGCACGAGTTGGACTCTCCTTTACCTTCATGTTTTACAGCTCAGCAGAGATGTCAAATTAAAGACGTGGGATGGCTTTTAATTTAACAATTAGGCAGTTATTTCTGCCTTCCTCCCCCTGAGTTTAGGGCCCCACAAAACCACATACTTTCTGTGTCTTCTGACAACAGCAGAAGCCAACAGTTGCACTGCGGCGGTGCTTTCACAAGTTGCACACCCTGCACAGGAGCATTTTACTTGGCAAGCAAGTGGTGCAACTGGTCCATCCCATACTGCAGCACGGATGCATCTCCAGATGCATCCCCAGTTGCGTTCCCAGACCTCAGCTCGTTTCCTACCCCTCCACGTTCACTCCTGACACGTTGCTGGCACTTCACATCTGCATGATGCAGGAGCAGTACCAGACACCGCACACATGGATGTGAGACCCTGGAAGTTGCACCGTTGCCCACTGCCAGGAGGACTCATTTGTGGCCAACGAAGGGCACGCAGCCCCCAACCCGGCAGCGCCCGCTGCGTGCAGCCGCCAGCTGGAAGCACTTTTGTGCTACAGATTAATTTCATGGATGCTGGCGGATAATGACAACTTTCAGTCCCTACCACGCTGGGCTGCCTTTTGGTCTCCCCGCTGTCGTGGCCCTTTTGGAAGAAGCCCTTATTTTCACCACAACATTTGGGGAGTTAAGCACGGGGAGAGCAAGCCAAGCTCCCAGTGTTGCATGTCCCGGAGCCCGCAGCCTGTCCTGCCGCACCTTCCTCGTGCATCAGCAGCAAAATCTCGTCGGGTGGAAGGGAAAAAGGAATAATCGGGTGAGGAGACGCGTGGAGGAGAGGACCTGCTAAACTTGCCAACAAATCTGTGGCATCAGGGGGCCGTGAAAAGCTCCACGTGCAGAAGCACGACAGCCTTCCCCAAAAGAGGAGGAGGAGGAGAAGGAGGAGGAGAAGGACGGCCGCTGCCAGGCACCCGGCCAGCACCCAGCTCGCGCCTGTTGGAAGCACAGCACGCAGCGGGACGCAGCGCGGGGTGCCCTGAGCGACGTGCCAC